TTTGATTTTGTTTCATTTTTTGAAAGTGTTTTGAGACAGAGGCAGGTCACCGCTCTCCCCGTGAAGAGGCCATCGCTTATTTCCACACCTCTCAGTCTGGCTCTCACACCGAGTACAACATATAATCATGAGCCAATGATACTTGACTCTGCAGCGTTTACCCTGACCACCACAGAACAGGCGGCTGCTGGGAGAGGACTGTTTACTGTAAAGCACCTAAAAGAGGGCCACCATAATGTGCTGTGTTTGGTGTGGCCAGAGTGGGTTTTACTGTAATGGTAGAAAACAGCTGCTCTGGTGAAAGGAAAGGAGGACTGTCTTATACATTGGACAAGACATTAACATCCATATCCATCTATAGACGATAAATTGATCAAAACTACACTTAAGATGACATACAGAATAATAATCCGAGTATCATTCATTCATTCGTTTTTCAAAATAAAACCAAAAAATGACTATTTTCTTCATTATTTGTCTCCAAAACCAAAATAAAAAAACAGATGATTTGTTTTTTCAGTTTTCGATTTTGTGTTTAAATGAATAATGGAAAAAACTGATAACGTCCGTTTCCGTGACAAACTGCGATGCCGGATTTATGCGCCGCATACGGATTGAACCAGGACTAAACCAGGACTGAAACAGGACTGAGACCAGGACTAAGACCAGGACCAAACCAGGACTCAGACCAGGACCAGACCAGGACTGAGGCTGAGACTGAGACCAGGACTGACTGCTTTAGTCCTGGTTTAGACCTGGTTCAGTGTGGTGAAAAAGTCCGGCATCGCAGTTTAAGTCATGGAAACTGGAAAGGACTAAGACCAGGACCAAACCAGGACTCAGACCAGGACTGAGGCTGAGACTGAGACCAGGACTGACTGCTTTAGTCCTGGTTTAGACCTGGTTCAGTGTGGTGAAAAAGTCCGGCATCGCAGTTTAAGTCATGGAAACTGGAAACGGCCCTAATCAGTTTTTTTCCATTAAACACAAAATGGAAAACAGAAAAAAGAATCGTTATCCCTTTTGTTGTTGTTGTTGTTTTTTTTTTCTTTCATTTTGGTTTTGAAGGCAAATAATGAAAATAGCTGTTTTTTTGTTTTCTTATTTTTGTTTTTATTCTGAAAAATGAATGAACGAATGATACACTGATTAATAATAAAGACATTTCCTGAAGACTTTTGAAATAGTCTTGATCTACCAGAACTACTCGATCTACTACTACAAGGGCCGCAGTAGCTCAGTTTGTCACGTGTTTGTCCATTGATCTAAACTTTGGCAGTTCAAATCCCGCACTCGATATAAAGCATCACTGGTTGAGTGGTTAGATCCACTGACCCACAGGCTGGCAGTGCAATTTCACCTCCCACAGATGAATGTGTCCTTGGGCAAGACTACCTTGCCCCAGTGTCTGTGTACAGAGGTGTATGAGAGCGTGTGTGAACGGGTGAGTGGCTCCGTGATGTGTGTTCCTTGAGTGCTTACTTCAAGAGGGGTAGGGGGATGTTAGCTCTGGTGAAAGAAGAGGAGGACTGTTTTCTACTAATAGGTATACTTAGAACTAGGGCTGTTAATATCTAGATATTAGCAATTAAAACTAGAAATTAGATACCAGGAGGTTTTCACATTTTATGGGACTCTAAATTGACTCCTTCATACATCCAATTCCCCATGCGTCATTCAATAAAAATACAAGATTATCATGTTGCTAGGGAGAATATTCATTTTTGCCATTGCCTAAGTTTGTCTGTTAAAATGGACTATGTAACTTTTCTGATGTATGGTAGGTAGCAGCAGTTACAGAGAGAGGGGTGACAATTTTTCAAAGTAAAGTCAATTGGAGTCAGAAGTACCTCCATGCACACTCTTTATGTGGAACACAGCGGCTAGAGGGTAAACTGTGTCCATTTATATATACAGTCTATGTAAGCATGATAGAAAGTACACCTGCTAGCTAATATATATATTAAAAAAAAAAAATCATATAATTGATCTAGGTTTTCTTTTGTAAACAAACAAAAATAAGACTTCCTCTCGAATCTGAATTCTGCTCAAAACCATATGAAGAGGATTGGATGTAGAAACTAAAAAGCATTTAAACAACTATTGATACTGATTAAAATTAAACATTTACTGAATAGTTCTAAAATAGTTTTGATCTCTACCCGAACTAGTACATGGTAATTTCACTAATACCGTACTGGAAAAATACTGTTTAGAAAAAAGTTTTTATTTATTCAAATTGAGTACACAGCCTTTTCTTTAGAATCAAATTCAAGTTTAAGTATTCAGAAATTGTGACAATACTATGGCAGAAGCTACTGTTAAAAAAGCACAGCAGTACAACAACAAGTTAAACTGATTTGTTTGTAAAACTGAAACACATCCAGCAATTTCACTACTTGCTTTATTGAAATAAATAAAATAATGTCTAGACACAAAACTTTTGGGAAGAGATACATTTTCAGCGTTTTTCAGTCGATGTATAATAAAAGTAGGTCAGGTCACAGACTCAGAGGTGGTTAAATTTAGTGGTTAATAACGTCATGATTGTGACTGTGTGGATGAGTTGTAGATCTGTTCGATGTGTCTATGAAAAACCATGAAAAGTGACTGCAGCGTTATGAATGATGAATGACATGAATATTTTGTCTCAGGGAATCTGCCACATTTTTACTTATTCATACTGAAAAAAAGAAAAAGAAAATTCAAACTTGCATGTACAAAAATAACCATTGTGTATTCCAAATTTATTAAAAGTAGGAGTATAATTTATTTTCTTTTACCAGTAAGCTCTGATAACATATGCCACTCAGTGTCTTAAAGGAGCATTATGTAACTTTTCTGGTGAGGAGGGGGGTCTGTCATAATAGATAAGTAAATAAATAATTGTAAATAATAAAGATCCGTGTATCATTCGCTCTTCAAAATAAAACCAAAAATTTGAAAATGAAAAAACTATTGTCTTTTTTAGTTGTCTCCAAAACCAAAATTTAAAAAAGGATGATTATTTTTGTCAGTTTTTGATTTGTTATTTAAATTAATAACGGAAAAAATGGATAACGTCCATTTCCCGTTTCTGTGACTTAAAGTGCGATGCCGTTATTTTGTGCCGCGTATGGACTGAACCAGGACTGAATGTCGGGATGGGCCCAGAGGTGTGCCTCTCAGGTGATCAGGACTGAGACCAGGTCCAGACTGGGACCAGACCGGGACCGAGACCGAAACTGAGACCGGGACTGAGACCTGGACCGAGACCTGGACCAGAAACACAGCAACAGGAAACGGCTGTTATCCGTTTTTTCATTATTCATTTAAGCAGAAAATCGAAAACTCATGATCGTCATCATTATCTGTTTGTTCATTTTGGTTTTGGAGAAAAATAATGAAGAAACAGGTCTTTATTTTGAAAAACAAATGAATGCAAAAAATAAATAAATAAATAAATAAAAAGCTGCATGTCTCCATGGAGACAGACAAGTTGACAAGTTTAATGCACCTCTGTATTGTATTGAGTAAGATATATTTTTGTTTAAATATATATGCCATATGTTAATAGGCAGTTTTGTACTTAAATTTATACAATACTGACACTTGCCATGATCAAATAGTTTTTAACCATGTGCAGTGTGGCCACAGGTTCAGGAGCTCGCGTCAGTTGCAACCTTCAAAGTCTAATTAAATGATATGCCATCTCTGACATTGCCCTAAATTAAAATCATCTTAATATGATTTAGCTCTCAGTCCTGCTGTGAAGCAATCAGCTCATCAACATAGTGTAATTGGTTAATGAAGCTGAAATACAAATATGATCTTTTAAAAATTGGCTAACAAGATTTTCAAAGAGATTCAAGTTAGAAGTCAATATATGTAACTAAGAATGTCACTATGTAAATAGATTTTAATACATCCATCTTTAGTTTTTTCCATCCATCATTCCATCCATTCCCATTCCCTTTCCACACACACTTCCTTTAACACCTCTGGAAGGACCCCAAGGCGTTCCCAGGCCAGCCAAGAGGCACATGCTCGAAACAGCTCTCCAGGGAGGCGTCCAAGAGGCATCTCAGCATCCAGCCAAGAGGCACAAGTCATCTTGGCTGGATGCTGCTCTCAGCTGGCTCCTCTCGACATGCGGGTGCAGTGACTCTACTCCGAGCTCCTCCTGTGTGACTGAGCTCCTGACCCCTATAACTAAAGGAGCGCCCAGCCAACCTCCAGAGGAAACTCATCTCAACTGCTTATATCCACTTATTATAATTAAGATCCTTGAGAATAGTATTTACATTAGGGCTAGATTTTTTTAACCCTCATAATCACCATGAAAAAGACTTTGATTAATATTCAATAAACTGCACAGCTCTCATTTATATGATGTTGGTTGCAGCATTCTTATAAATGATAGATGTCACAGTAGAATAAAGATAACTGTAAAATTCAAAGAGATTGTTGCTGTGGTCTGTTCCTGTAGCTCACCTGGACTCACCTCATGCATACCAATCACTCATGTTGATATTTCTACAGGCAGTTCATTTGGATGCAGAGAAATGTAAATCTCAAATACTGGTCTACTGTTAACTCGTGTTAGCTCATGTTAGCTCATCACTGCCTTCAGTTCATGAATACATTATTTTTGATCATCATGGTAAATGGTAAATGGTCACATTTTTATACAGCGCTTTTACACCTTCAAGGCATTCAAAGTACTTTACATCAAGCAAGCACTCACGTACATTTTTGACACAGTCTCTGTGTAGCGATGCAGCACTACATTTGATAGCAGGTATTTGTACTTTTTTGTATTTTTTCTCTGATATCTGTACTTTTACTTAAATAACACAACTGAGTACTTCTACCACAGTTCATCACACTGAAAAATACCATGACCCATCCTTATATTATGTTGCTTGTGTAAATTATGCTGTGTTAGCTTGTGTTAGCTTGTGTAAATTATGTTGAGTGTTTTGTTTGTGTTACTCGTGCAGGGACTGTGCACGTCTCACCGATGTAGACGCGGCGACTGTAGCGTTGCATGAGCAGCAGCACAAAGACGTGGAGAGGAATCAGGTTTATAATGAAGACGTATCCTCCCCAAGCCGAGACCTGCAAACACACAATAATACACCTGTCAATCAAAAAGCACATATTTACACACAGCTGACAAGGGCACGCTCAAGATGTCATGTTAGATGATTAGTGTTAATAATAAGAGTATAATAAACAGACGTGTGAATAACTGACTGAATATAAGTTATGGAATGTAGGCGTATTATCATTATATCGCTGTAAAAAATGCTAAATTAATTTGGTACTTGCATCTTCAACATTGGATGTTATGTGACTAGATACTGCCACTGTTAAATAAATAAACTGAATAATTTATTGATATCTAATAAAATCTGCCATATATAAATAAGGTGTTGATTTTTCAAAATTACTGTACATCACAGGAGTACAAATTGGTTGAATAACATCATTTAGGCTTTATTATTTTCTATTTAGTTTTTATTTGGACCACAGTTGAGTAATAAATGTTATTAGGGGTGGGTGTAATGAGCAAAATCACATATTGTGGGATGTAAAACAAAGTAAAAGTACTAACAAAACTGCACTAAGCAAAAAGTTTAGGTATCTGTACTGTAGTTTTACAGTGGATACTTTTTGCTTTACTGCATTTGAGAGAAGATATTTGTACTTTCTACTCCACTACATTTCTGAGCAGGACCGAAAAGTAAAATTATTTTTTATTATAGTTCAAGACCTGGTGAAAAGGCTAAAGGGGTTTATTTTTACCATGTTTGTAGTTTGAGCAAACAAAAACATACAAATAACTGCTAGAAAAAAAATCTATTCAGTTGTTTCTGCTGAACAAAATTCAGTACAAATCTGTATCAAAATCACTACATTTGAAGCCTGATAAGACCTCAAAATATGCGCGAAATATTTTTTACTAGTGCCCGACCGATATGGATTTTGTTGTGGCCGATATGATACCGATAAAATGGGAGTTGGAACTGCCGATAGCCGATATATTTAGTGATGTAGAAATTCACTGTAAATCTTGAATTGTTTAAAAAACTAAGGTTTGGCTCTAGTGAATTTAAAATAGGGTTTATTTAGGCAACATTTATTAACATTTAGTTATTCTGTCTCTTTACGTCATATTTACAGACAGCAGGTCGGACTAATGGCATTTTTGCATCACATTCTAGCTACTAGTGATTGGTATTCCAGTTCTTTTTAGAGAACTGGCTCTTTTGGCTCAGCTCACTAAAAGCAGTGGCTCTTTCAGCTCCCAAGTGACTGAAACAGGTCTAAACCATGTGTAAAACAGGACTAAACCAGAACTGAACCAGGACTGAGTGTCAGGACTTGGTCTTTTTTTTTTTTTTTGCTCAGGTATCTGCACACAATGTAAGAAAAATGTCTTGCCCAGAGACACACAGTACTAGAAAGTGAAAGTCAAGGTTCAAATCACTGAACCTCCAGATTGTGGGCACACACTAAACTCACTGCACCACAATTCAAAGCACTTTAAAATGTCCTCTTTATAAAAAAAAAAAAATGTGCATGAATTTAGAGTGATAACATTTACTACTTTTACAACTTGTTCATGGTGAGAACACTGAATTAAGTTTGATTAGCTTGAAAATCCTAAAGGTTTTGCCCTGTGGAGACTTTCTGCTAATGTGATTTGAAGCCCGGTGGGGGCCTGTCACATTTCCATCTAATCTAGACCCATTTCAGCAACAGGAAACGGCAGGTTAAAACGGAGCGCTAAAACTGAGCAAATATTAAACCTATTCAACAAATCAAAGAAGGTTTTTACATTTTATGGGACTCTAAATTGACTCCTTCATACATCCAGCTTCCCATGTGTCATCCAAAAAAAATACAAGATTATCATGTTGCTAGGGAGAATATTCATTTTTGCCGATGCCAAAGTTTGTTAAAATTAGACTAACGTTTCTGGTGAATGGTAAGGCATTTGATTTGCAACTGAAGTCACAAAGCCAAGTTACAGGTCAGGTCTGTGGAAAGGTTCACAGTATGAAAACACTTGTGACTGAATGTTAACAAGCACAGACAGAGTACGAAAAAAAAAGTCACAGCATTGATCTAAGTTTTATTTGTAAACAAACAAAAATAAGTCTTCCTCCCAACTCTGAATTCTGCTCCAAACCACATGCAGAGGATTGGATGTAGAAACTAGAGACCGACCGATATGGATTTTGTTGTGGCCAATATGAAACTGATATAATGGGAGTTGGAGCTGCCGATATCCGATATAATCGCCGATATATTTAGTGATGTAAAAATTCACTGTAAATCTTGAATTGTTTAAAAAAACTTAGGTTTGGCTCTAGATCTAGCTCTGGATTCTAAATTGGGTTTATTTAGGCAACATTTATTGTTATTCTGACTCTTTACATCATATTTACAGACAGTAGATTGGCCTAATGGCATTTTTGCATCTTTTTCTAGCTACTAGTGATGGGTATTTCAGTTTTTTGTTTTTTTTTGGAGAACCGGCTCTTTTGGCTCGGCTCACTAAAGCAGCTGGCTCTTTCGGCTCCCAAGCGACTCTTGAGATTGTTTTGGTGCAAGCAGGACTAAACCAAAACTGGACCAGGACTGAAAAAGGACTAAACCAGGGCTAAAACAGATTTAAACCATGTGTAAAACAGGACTAAACCAGAACTGAACCAGGACTGAGTGTCGGGACTCGGTCTCTATCTCTCTCTCAAGCCCAAGATTAGTCCTGCTTTATTCATTTTATGCTGAACTGCAGCCAAATATGCACTTTTTTTTTAAATCCTATGCACACGCAGATTTCTGAAAGTTTCGTTTTCAGTCGCTGCTGCTGTCAAACTACGGGTCTACATGCAGCTTGAAGAGAAAAAGAGAAAACACGGCTCCCAATAAGAAGCATGCTCCCGTCGTTCACTTCAAAGAGCCGCTTCGATCGCGACCGACCCACAACTCCTAGCTAGTAAATAAACTATTAGCCTTTAGCCGTAAAGACGTGCGCACCGCGGTATTAATTATATGCATAAATGTGGATCATTCACGCGTCTATTCACAGCTCATTTACATATCAATGCAGGTCCAGTAACAAATATACGGACAATATAGTCACTTTACAATAGGCCAATAGAAAACAGCCTGTTTATGTGCGGGAGCTACAGCAGCTAATCGCTAACAGATAACCTAAACTAGCTTCAAAGTCGATGTATTTCCAACACTCACCGCTCACACAGGCTCCTCCTCACATCACAAGTCTGCACTAATAAATGTCCTTTTAATCCAGACTCAAACCGATTGTCCATAAGAAGAATATAATCTCAGTGTTGCGCACGGCTGCGGGTGTAAACAATAGCACGTGAGTGAAGTGACGTGACTCTGGGGGTGTGTTCAGGGACAGTACGGACACAGACAAATTACACCGCAAATAAATACTGATGCGGAGCCACATATTAGGACATTCATCTGTCTATAAATTGGATTAAATGAACATAATGTAGAGAGTCTAAGCTTTATAACGAGGTATAACATGCCCACGTGAAATATCGGCCCATATCAGCAAGCATATCGGCCGATAGCCGATATGTCTCCAGGTGCCCATATTAGCCGATAATATCGGCCAGCCGATATATCGGTCGGGCTCTAGTAGAAACTAAAAAGCACATCACTGATTATTAGAAATTACTCAATCTCAGTCCATACAAATTTGATTAATGGCACTGCTCTAGTGTAATGTCATAATAAAGGCTACATTCAGACTGCAGGGCTTAATGCTCAATTCAGATTTATTTGTGAAATCAGATTTTTTTGCGAGGTCGTTCACATTTCCAATTAAATGCGACTTATATGTGATGTCTCCAGTGTGAACTTTAAAATCCCCAAAAGTGTCCCGCATGTGCATTGAAGGAAATGAAGATGTCGTGTTACATGTCGTGCACATGTTACACGTCCACAGCCGCTTCATTTGTTTGAATCTTTAGCCTCCTTGTATTTGGCTTGCAGGCTCTTTATTTTTGTTGACATTTGAGCCAAGACCGCCTGTAGCCACGCTCGGCCATTTCTTTGGCAATCATTTCAAAAACCAAGCGGTTCTGATAAGACCCCTCCAATTTGGCCTGAATACAGCGCTCCCACCAAAATATTAATTAACTCGCTAACCTCGTTTTCCGTGTACGTGTAGGTGGGATGAATGCGACCTGGCCGTTCAGACTGAAATATATGTATTGGTTTTAGGATCACATATCCAAGTGGCCTGGGTCGCATTTGAAAAAAATCGGCTCTGTGTCGTTCAGTCATTAAAGAATCAGATCCAGATCGCATAGGGGTGAAAAAAAGGCTGCAGTCTGAACATAGACAATATCTCCATGGTGACAAGTAGTTGACGGTCCTCCCACCAGAAAATGTACACAGTGCACTTTTAACAACTCTAGCTACATATTTTCAGGATGAACAACTTTCTTCATTTCTTCTTCTTTTGTTCTTTACAGTTTTAAAGGGAAGTAAAATAATGTAGTTGGCAAAGCTCTGTTCGTCCAACTATAAATTGTTTTGATTTGACCATTTTCTATCAATCTTTTCGCACTCTTTTTGAAAGCTGACCAAGTAATTGCAGCGATAGCCACTATTTCAGTCAGATTTTAATGGTCGCAATTAATTCTAAGCTAACAAGGCTGTATATCAAGGCCAACAGCAATGAAACATGCACTCTGCCATGACAGGCTAAAGTAACTTACCTATTGTTTAAAAAATGCATTGCTTTTCATTATTTAAGATGAACTGAGGGGGAACTGAGCTGAAAGTGCATGCTTTTTCATGCCCCCTGCACAAAAGCTCATGTTCCGTCACCCAAATAGCATCAGACTGAAGCAGAACCCTTTTAATGAATTAAATATAAGCTCCTATATAACCGTATGAATGCAGTTTTACATGTATAGGGAGCGGGGCTATATGTATAACTCAGGGCACAGCTACAACAATAGAAACCAAGGATGTCCAGATAGCCTTTAGTCTTAGATAAACTACTGACCACAAGGGAAATTATTTGGACACAGTAGCTCACACATCACAATAAATATAAT